GCTGATGCTGTTGGTGAGTGTCACGTCTCCCTCTCACGCTCTATCCTTAACCATCACAACTAAACTTTACCCTAACTCTAACCTTAACCTGAACCTGATTTTAAGCTTTAATGTCCTTAATCTCAAGGTTCACATTCACGTCATTACAAAAACAGTACAAGAGCACATGCACACAACACACGTACACCCAAGGTCTAACACAGTGAGTCACAGGACTAGTCATTCAAAACTTCCATTTTAAGCAATTTCAGTGTTTTTGTAATGCTTCACGTTCTAATAACAAAATAATCCCGGTAATTGAGTTACACCAAATACTACTCATACCACTAAATTACTGACTCACATACTTGCAACGTCTAAAGTCTGATTATAACCAAAAGTAATGTTTTTATGATAAGAATATGAATATGAGATAAGATATGGATAATATAAATGAGATATGGATAATCAAGTGAATAATAACACAAACCCAATATTGGCATAAAGTAGTTCTGCTCATTGATTTGTAACATTGTCCATAACGTCCTAATATACCCAGGAATGTAAAAGGGATAGCAACCTTGTCACATACTGTACAGCAAAGATCTGGGCTGCATAAAGTCTCACCTCCTCTTTGTCTTTTTGCTGCAGGGATGAGCACTGCCCATGAGGTCATCGTCGCCCGCCATGCCAAGATGCGTTGCTTCGCCCTGTCACTGATCAGCAATCGTGCGGTGATGGACTACGACAGCCAGGAGAAGGCCAACCACGAAGAAGTCCTGGAGACAGGCAGGATGAGGGCCGAGCAAATGGAGAAGCTGGTGTCCACCATGGTGGCTCGGATGGAGCACAACGACAACTCCTACTGATTATGAGACTGACCGCCGTACCTGTTGTCCTGCTTTATCTCTGCATCACGTAGATGTTTTTTTCTTATTAGAACGCTAAAAAAAACCAAAACTTTTGTTTAAACTGCCAGGCTAGGTTTACTACTCGATAAACTAGTTTCTTAGCTAAACCTAATTTTTTTCCCCTAGTCTTAAAATCCTGGAAACTGGTCCACTTTTTATACACTCCTCTATCAGCAATGTTTACATTTTTGAATTGTACAAATAAATTATCTTACTGTACCTTTAATACTGCTGCGATACTGCTGCGATACACTGTACTGTATTCAGCCAACTGGTGTTTCAGTGAAACAGCACCGTATTTTCTAACTTAATAACTTTTAATTTAATAAAATCGAAATATTTATTCTTTCAGTTCTTACATTCCCTTACATATTCGTTAACAACTAATATGAAGAAAGTGATATTCACATTTTTAATGTGGAGGACCAAGTCATCAAAGATCACTGTTAAACTGTGGAAATAATAATCTCACATGATGTTTAAGATGTGTAAAATGTTCTAAGATATTTATACTGAATGTATTTAAGTAGCGTTTTTATTGGGTTTGATAATATATCGAGTGTTTGATGGACAGAGTTGAAGCAAAGGAATTTATCGTGCATGAGACAAAGTATGAATTTGATCAAAATCTCCTTCCATGTCTTATCACTGTTAACAGACTGAGTTTCTGGCTGTTTGTGCTTTTAGAGTTACTTTACTAAAAACTGTTCAAACTGTGGATCTACTTTTACAATAAAATGACTTGAATAATGTTTCTGTGTTCCTTTGTAGTTTGTTGGTGGGATGTATGAGATCTTTTTCCTATAGATGAGTGGTCTTGAGTCAGTCTTAAAAAGAAAAATCCACCCTCAGCTCTTATACTCTCTTATACTGTAATTTCATTTGTCTTGTACAAACTTCCACTATATGAAGTTAAAGGTTTCCTACGTCCCACAATGCCATTGTTTTTAAAAGCACACAGAGAACCAAGTATTACAAACTGGACAACTGCACCTAGGGCATCCCAGGTTCCCAGGTAATTGCACATTTGTTTGAGAATACACAGCAATATAGGAGATGTAAACTGACATGAAGACCTTAAAGACTACTAGATGTTTACGGCCCTGTCTCACTGCAAGTGGTGGCATCATCACATTTCACAAACGATTCCCGCTTGTAAGTTGCAGATACATTTGCAGGCCGTGCAGGGCTCTTACACGGGTTTGCCAGTATGGCGTTTGTTTTGATTGGTGAAATGTGTTGAAATTAGTACAAAAGGAAATCTTATGTTGCAAGCTTTAAGCTTTCATATCGCAAATTTGGTGAAACCTTGGGCAAGGTATTAATGGAGCAAGAGGAGCACTGGTTGGTTAAAAGATAATGAAAGAGGGAGCACCCTGGTAGCAGAGTCCCCACTGCAGCGGCCATGGGCTCGACTCTGACCTGTGGCCCCTTGCTGTGTGTCATATATATAGTATAGTATAAGTATAGGCACACTTACCCAACTCTGCAAAAAAACTAGGCACTTGGTCTTAGTGTAGTAGTGTAGTTGGACAGCTGCAGTGGATTCTTGTCTATTAATGTCGCATTAAGGCTTTTGTTTGATGGAGTTCTTCCTGCATCATGAAGGGCAAAATTATTAAACTTCTCTTTCTCTTGACACACAAGTTTGAAAAAAATCTTCTCTCAAGCCCCTGTGTAGCTGCTGCAAATGCACTGAAGAAAAGTATGTGGACACCCAAAACAATACACAGCGATGTGGTTGTTGAACATGGGCACTAACCTGCTGCCACAAAGCTGTAAGCACTGTAAAATATAGCCGTAGGGCCTTGCCCAAACTATGAAAAACTACAACTGACCAAAGACACAAGGGGCAAGGGTGTCCAGATACTTTTGGCCATATAAAGTAAAAGGAAAAATACACAAAAAAACTGGGCCAGAAAGACAAACTGTACCACTGATCTGTCTCCTAACAGTGCCCGAAGGCAGATATCCCCATCAAAGACACAACCTGCAAAATCAATGTAAGCTTCCCACGGTAAGAATGCCAAACAATACATCTAGCTCGAGCCCACAGCTGCCCTCTCAACCATCATGATGGTTGACATTTTTACTGTTTGTCCTCCATCTTATCAGCCATGTTTACCCTCCTCTTTCTTTACTGTCTATTCACTCTGATATTTCAGTCTACACTCTGCCTGTTCCCACTTTCTTACCAAAAATACATCCACTGCCACTTGTCCCCCTTCTCCTCCTCCCCCTCCTCCAAAAAGAAAATAAAAAAACATTTTCCATGACGCAGGCACCAGTCTTTATGGCCATACAAGGCTGTGAGACTTTTATGAGCTGTCTGTTTTACTGCAGCGAATGAGCAGGTCCAGGTGTCCGCACGAACTGTACAGATTCACTGCAGTGTAAGGAAGCAAAGCGAGGCACAGGCAGTGCACTCTCAGCACACATTGCCGTCAGTAAGTTCATCTTCTAGTTCGACCGGTTGGGTTTATGGTCACGCGCACAAACACACACACAACACACACAACACACACACACCGACACACACACACACACACACACACACAGATATTTAACCTGCTAAATGTACTTAGGATAATTGGTTTGAAAGTATGCACATTATGCTTAACATAAGCTGTGGAAGTTGTAAATTGTTTGTTTTAGCTGCTGGCTGTCAGAACAATCTACCTTTACAGCTTCTGATGAGTGTGCAAATACACTTATCTAACACAACCACTAGATCAAATGTTAAATTTAAGTCCTGTATTTTTTAAATTATGCTTAAAACCGTTGATTTGACAAAAGGTGGAGGATGACACAGCAGGTATGTTTTCATTACAGCAATATTTAGCAAAAACACCTCCTGTATTTGATAAGCGGAAGCCCCTGAAAGAATCCTGTGTTCATAAGGGGAAATCATTAGCTTCAACACACCAACCTCTTCCTCGAACACCTTTAAATAACTGTGTGTGTTTGCAGTGAAGCTCTACAAACAAAAACACAGTTACAGTATGATGAATTAAGCAGGAAATACATCGTCTGTGGCACTGACTGCTACTGTAGGACATACTGTTCCACAGCAGTGTTTATACTGTACTTCACTACCTGGGTAACCCACACCAAACGAAACCCATGTTGACCATGTACAACGGGAAACAATGGCAAGTGTAATTAGACCAGAACACAAAAACAACAGAGGAGCCAACATTTCCTATTAGAAATGTATGGATAATGAATCCAGATGAACCAAACCTAGAGTAGCATCACTGACACTTTTTAACCATAACGAGAAACTGGATCGTTAGGCTACAACCAACATCTTCATTTTACAGGGTTTCTGCATAGAGAGGCAGAGGGTGGCAAGAAAAAAATGCAACCGCAAAAAGCAACACGTAGAATTGAAATGAAGCAGGGATGATGTGCAAGAATGTAGTAGTTGTAAATAAATATATGAAAGGCAGCAGGTCAGGTAGCTACTTTCACGTTTGACAGTAAATAGGACGTGTGAAGTTCCTGTTTCTGTTCAGGCAGCAGCACTGCAGTCATAGTTCCTTTTCTGCACTGAGACGCTTTAGAGGATGAGTTACGCTGCCCTCTGGTGCCGTTTCATCCTACCAGAGTGACAAAAAGGCAGGCTTGAATTAAACCGTAATTTGAATAGTCGATTAATTAATTACTTAATGCCTCCCCTGTTTTGAGTCACCCCCTCCTCTAAATATCAAACCGTCCCTAATGTAACCTGCTGGTCAGGTTTGGACAGCAAATAATGTTTAACTGACCTTGTATATCAACTGATATAGGGCAAAAACCTAGACGTTAGGGCAGAGCAGGTTAATGAGTGGATTGATAGTAATTCAATTAATGTCAGTTTTGATAAACAATTAATTATCATTTATAAAGCAAGAATGCAAACCATTCATGGATCCAGCTGGGAGTATGTCCTGCTTTTCCTCTGACTTACATCACTGTAAATTGCAATGGGATACCTTTTAAGATAATCTAATGAATACAGTGAATGGTAATGAACTCTGCAAGAAAGTCAGCACTTGTTTGTAGTTTGAGGAGCACAAACTGAGTTATTTACAAGTACAAACAAAGTGTGATGTCCAAAACTAGAAATATTCAGACCAGCTGCTGATTGAACGATCCTTTAATATAAATCATAACAAAGGGCAATGGGTTTTTGGGCATACATTTTATGAGAAAAAAATCAACTCGGAACAATAGTCAGGCGGGTTTTTACTAATGTTGACATCAAAACATAAACCTGAGAGGTGCTTCACTGGCTCTGAATGGAAAGCCCTCTTTTGACTGTGAAGGGGAGAGTTTATGGGGGTAAAGAGCATCTTGTGCTTCTACAGTTTCAGTGCTGAGATGAAGTAAGGCAAATTTCTAAATGAGAAGCTGAAATAAACTGTGTCTATGAGTGAAGATCAGTATACAGGTAACTTTAAGAGGAAATCTGCAGGATCTTTTTGTAATGACTCCACATTTTAGACCTTGTTTTTTTGTTTTGTTTTTTGGATTTCTAGCTTTGGAGATGTCTTGTGTGAATTCTGTTGCAATTCAGTTTCAGGTTTTCATAATTACAAGACAAGTATGTAAAATAAAAAGAAGCAAACATCTTCAAATTGGATGGGTTTTGCATAGTAAAATATGCATTAATATACAAAGTCTGTGAGCAATGCCACAAGGTTACAAATCCCAAACAAAAAAGCTGCCGCTCACTGGCTTTTTGATTTGGTTTTGGGGGTCATTTGTGTCTTTTCACCTGAGCAACATCCCTTCAAACATCTCCACCTCAGCTGTATGTGTGAATGATTCTGTGCCGCTTCAAGTGGTGCATCAGGATGAAGGTTTTTCCGCACAGCGAGCAGCTGTAGGGCCGCTCCCCGCTGTGTGTGCGCTGGTGGACCCTCAGACTGCTCTGCTGCGTGAACCTCTTCCCGCACTGCCCGCAACCGTACGGCTTCTCGCCTGTGTGTGTCCGGTGGTGTATGCTGAGGTGGGACGAACACTGGAAGTTCTTCCCGCACACCGTGCACCAGAACGCCCGCTTTCTCTTGTGGCTTTGCTGGTGCAGCTTGAACTGGTGCAGACGGCCGAATGTCTTCCCGCACTGCGAGCAAACGTAGCCCCGCGCCATGCCGGAGAGAGGTTTGTGGTGGGTGTGAGAGGGAAAGCTGCTCGGTGTTAAAGTGTTGTGCGAGGGAGTTACGGCCGGTCTATCTCCGGCTGCAGTCTCCCTCTCAGGGTGTTCATCTGGCTGCCTCAGATGATGCGAGGGGTTTCTCTGCGCGTACATTTGTTCCTTCTGCCTGTCTTGCTCTGACTGGGTGCCCTGAGGTCTGGGTTGAAAATTGGACGACTGTGGAGCATCCTTTTGATACTCACTGTTGTAGATCCCATTACACGGCCTCTGAGAGGACACCTGCTGGACACCAGCCGACTTGGAAGTGTTGGAAACCACGTGAGCATCAGAATGATCCGGGAATGTGTTGGAATACTCCTCTACCACGCTGGAAAAGTCAGGAAAACCAGCATCAATGTCATTACCTTCAATTATGGATGACCACAGTTGATTCTCTCGTTCATCCATAGAAAAGTCAGCAGCGAGTTGAGTCTGCTTCCCTGCACCGTGCTGGCATCCTCCCTGACTGAATCCAGATCGGTTCTCCTCCTTCTCTGTCTTGACAGTGAACTGAAGGCCACTGATGTCACCTGCAAGCTGACCAGAGTTGTACAAGTCACCGAACTCTGAGGCTTTTTGCCTTGCGACCTCTGAATGGTTCAGCTGACGGCTCTCTTCAAGCTGCTGGCTCTCCGGGGCGTTAACTGGATTGGGATATTGTACAGCAGAACCTGCAAGTGACAGGTGTTAGGAAAAGTCAGCAGGGGCCAATGTAGTTAATTTCAATTTAATTTCAATGTATTGGATTTAATTCTTGTTCTTTAACTCACCAATTGGTCCAGCAGAATCACTGATCCACAGCGTCTCATCTGGACTTTCTTCTTTAATTGTGAATGAAACAGTTGCATCTTCAATCTCCGGAAACTAGACGAAGAGAGGATTAAAAAACAGGAGACCACTATTAGAAATATAACAGCCACATTGTTCTATCACACTAGTGTCTGAAACCAAGATTTCTTCAGTAAACTAGATTTCTTCGGGTCAACTTGAGACATCACAAACTTAGACACAAGCTGGCTCTCAATTGTGTGCATCTGGGCAGGTAGTGTACAAATGTTTTCTGTTTTTGTTGCTGAAAATAGGCCAAAAGACACTAAAACGCCCCGTAGAGCTGACAGGGAACTGCAGAGTGAGGTGACAATTCTCTGTGGATTTGTCACTCAAGGCACCACCACAAGCAAAAGTCAGCTTTAATTAATTATAAGCATGTTCCACACCAGAGTCTGTGCTAATTAGACAACAATTCTGGGCTTCCTAATTAGCAGCCTCTATGCTGCTTGGCCTCTATTACCCCCATTTATACCCTTCTCTGAGCATTGTGTTTAAATATTACCACCAACTCATTTGGGGCTTTTGGGGTCCCTTTGGTGGTCTTGGGGCCCTGGGGGTAGTTGCCCACGTTATTCAGGCATGTTGAGGGATGCTGCTGACATAAATAAAGGATTTTGAGTTACAAAAACAACACAGACCTTCATTTCTCCTGTGGGATGCGGACAGTTACTCCCCACATCAGGTCCTCGGTCCATGTAGTTTTCTGGTGCACAAAGGGAAAAAAATCCAATTAAAAGTTAAATTAAATATCTTTAAAGAAGGAAAGGTGTCCAATTGTATGTATTGCATTGTAAGAATGTCCAATAATTAATATAAAATACATTAATTCATGTAAGAATGTGCAGCACTCTCACAGTGCTGCCTTTAACTAATTGCAAATGTAATCAGATGTCCACATGATGCCACATTAATATGCATAATACATCAATTGACCACAGTCGTCAATAAGGAGCACAAATAAAGGCAGTAGAGGATCTCACCAAAGCCTCGCTGCAGCTGTGCATTTTTGTTCTCCATCATCAGTAATTTCCTCTTCAGCATTTCATTCTCGCTTTGCTTTCGGGATATTTCGAGGTGCAGAAACGCACATTTGTCATCGACTAGTTTGGATATCTCTGTCACTGCTGCTTTAACCAAAACCTCCATTATTGAGGATAGCTGGCTTTGAAAGGGAATGCACGTCGCCATGTTAATTCATGCAAAAGTAAGTGTTCGAGGAGGAGAAAAAAAATAGAATAAAAATGTCCTTCCACTGAGTGATTTCGTTACAGAAATTGCGAAAACAACCGACGCACTACAACATTTTTTTTACATCCCTGTGTTTCTAGCTAGCTGGAACCTTTTCTTCCGTGTAGCTGAGGCGTCTACCGTAAACCCACGAGCAGACGCGCAGTCAAATTACAGCCAACAAGGAGGAAACAAAGTGTGTGACGACGTTTGGTAACACTGGTGAGTGTTTCAGGTAAAACTGAAGGTGACTTACCTTTTTAATGGTCTGTCAGAAGACTGTGCAGCTGTAAAAGTTAAGGGGCTGCTTGATGTTTTGGGTAAAAAATGTTCATTTTAAAATACAATGTACATGTTTTTAAATGTTTTTTATTCTCAAATACTGTTAAAAATACTCTAATTCTGCACTGATAGATGCAATTGCCAACCCTAAAAAGCTGCAGCATGCCCCATCTATATCCCCTTCTGCAGGGGGTCAGACCTATGTTCCCACAGCCCTATGTGGTTAGGGTCAGGGGGAGAAAGGGGGAGAAAATCTGAAACAAATTTATGAAAAAGGAAATGTGGGAACATAGGGCCTAATTTTGAAAAGAAATCTTCGAAATGTGGGACTATTGGGCTGTGGGAACATAGGCCCTTCTGCAGAAGTAGCCTATTTACAAATTAAATCTATACTTAGAAACTTGATTCTGAAAGCCTGTGATTTGTGACCATTTAATGAAATTTGATCTAAATTGGGGGTCTCTCAAGGATCCATATTGGGTCCTCTTCCATTTAGCGAATATCTAATAAGTTTACACCTTTTCCAAGCATGTGGAAACCCTGGAAGAAGAAAGAGGCAAGGTGGGAGAAGCAACAAAACAGCGTTGGTGTGGTAAGTAGTGCAATCATTTATTTTCACTAATCAATATTAGAATAACCAGTGCCAGACTCCACAATCCTTAGTTTTGAATTTATTTGAAAATACAAAAAAGCTTCATTATGATAATCTTTTCAAACATAACTCCAACATCTTGTAGAATAATGTGATCACTGTAAAAGGTTGTGTGATGCCTGTGAATCATGCTACAACTGGGTGTAAGATTGACAAATTATTGATCAATGATCTACTGAATCAAAGCAAAGACTTAAAAACACTAGAAATTAAGGAAGAGAACAAATTATAGGAAGTTGACTCTGTAACACTGCTTTTAAAAAAGGCAACAACACTGCAGTGGCAGGGTTTGGGATTTAATACCCATGTGAAAAAATTTAGGCACTCATCACACTGTACGATAAAGGGTTTAGTGTCACCTTGATAAGCGTAGAAAAGTTGCTCTTTCTGTTGGATTACGTGGAGTTTTGTCAAACTATTTTAACGACCTCTTCAAGTGCAGCCACCTGCTATAAAACGAATGCAAATTGAACCATTCAAAACAATTTACTCAACCAGTTTAATGCCTTTTCATAGAACAGTTTTCCATGTGCAATGCCGAACACTGGCTGTGTAATCTCTATCTATCTGACTGTCATTAACCCTTCATAAAAAATATCCCCCCTCCCAAAAAATAAATATCAGACTAAGGAAACAACACTTTTCCAAATTCTCGAGGACTACGGTGACCCTGTGTATCACTGAGGTATTTCAAGTTTCTTTAATTAAACATAATCGCACATATCTTACATATGATTTAGTATTAACATACTGTAGTCCCCTTTCTATTCTCTAAGTTAAAAAAAAGACCTTGTTGCCATTTTTGGTTACAGGGAGGTCTGCTATATTTGAAATGTTGCCCTGACCCCAAAATAATTTCCTTTAAATATGACTTTTAAAGACCAAACCAACAGAATATAACAATATCAAGACATACTTACATGCAGCTTTGAAGGCAATAGTAATTTGAGGTATACAGTGCATTGTTATGAGGGTTTGTTCGGTTCAACTTAAAAGGAAGACACTACTGTCCGAATGATTTATCAACAATAAACATCTCTATGAATATCTTTTAACAATGGCTTAAAATCACCGCTTAGAAAAAAAAACAGTAGTACCCTCACTGCATCCTCCTAAAAAAGGGAAAATAGGTATTATTCCATATTTTAACATACAGAATATTTGTGTAGTATTAAAGAAACGTCTTATCAAAGCTTTGATGGAACTGATTGATTTCTGAAGTATGGCACAGTAGAACTGAATAGAGAAGAAATCTGTCCTATATCTCTAGTTGATATGTTACATCCATGAGATTGGCATCCTATAATTTTGTTCTAATTCAGCCAAATTCCACCTAATACTGTATTTTTAACATATCATCAAACTCTACCTCACATTAAAGAACATAATAATATGCTGACAGTATATCGTGGACGATAACAAGCTTGTTGAACTGTTGAACTGTTGAAGTGCAAAATCCTTCGTCATTAGTTGAAATGTAAGGACTCATTTCACCGACTGTATGAGGGGGAGGATTTCTGATTTTAGTTTCACTGAAAAAGACTGAGTTACATTTACAGTCTATAGTAATAACACATCATACAGAACTTAAGTGACTTGTTTACTAGTACTACTGATTAGTCTGAGTAACAGGACGGCTTCAATTGCCACTTAAAACACTCAACATTGTTTGCCAGATCTGGCCACTGTGTTCAATGTCTACGGCAACAATCGTGAAATCTTTAAAAAAAAAAAAAAAGGGTGAAAGTGGCAGGAAAAGCAAAGTACTTGAAATGTGACGGACGCTAAGAAGACATTTTTGTCCTGTACTTAAATCAGAAACCTACTGCTCTTTGTTCCTCTGCTTTAGCTTTTGGAAGTTTTGGGACATTGTTGATTTTGTCAAGCGTGAGAAAGTAACTCATGCACTTGGCCGCCTGACTGACTGTGATGAAGCCTGGTGGAGAATCGTGTCCGGTACAGTATTTTTCCTTGTTGTGTCCATTACAAATGATTTTATTTTACATGCAGTTTAAGGTGCAATTTCAGGATGCTCATCTGATTAAACATCTTGCCGCATATCTCACAGCCGAAGGATTGCTCTGTGATATTTTTACACTGGTGCCTCTGAAATAAACTGAAACTATCAAAACTTTGCCCACAAGTTGAACATATATAGCAATTTTGCCTGGTGGTGTCCCCGCCGCAGTTGTCTTCAGGGTCGCCTGTCATATTAAATTCAAACACTCCTCCCTCGTGAGTCCTCTCACTCACTTCCGTGTACTCAGTCACAGCTACCTCTTGTGGAATATGTGGATCCTGCAGCTCCGGAGCTAGAGTCATATCGGAGCTTCTCAGCTGCATCCCCATCACTGAATACTGATCATTGTGCATCATTTCTTCCTTTTCCTTGTGGTCTAGAAAAGAGAGATCCTTGATTGGCGAGGTATATCCCTGCTGCTCGTTGGCGGTTCCACCAGCAGGACTGAGGTGATACTTGACATCGTGTAAAAGTAGACAGACATTTTGTTCAGTGACATCACCGCTCTTCTCTATCCCAGAAGCCCACAGCTGGCTTTGGTCTGTTGCTCCTGTGTCATTATCAGTCCCTGCCTGGCTTAGAGTCTGAAAATCCTCCCCATTTGGCTCCAGCTTTACCATTACTGTTTGCTCACCAACTGGCTCGCTGTACGTGGATCCTGTTAGCTGTTCTCCCAAAGCTGCCAGTCCGGTCTTGGGTTCTGCCAGGTTCTTCAACGATTGATTTTCAGGGATTGTAAACATCAGGTGTTGCGCTTCCAGCACATCCGAGTTCTCCCCTTTTTGGAAGAAAAAGGGAACAGAATTAAATGAGTAAATTGCTAATAGATTATCTTTTCTTGTGCTTTTTATATGCGGGAGTGCTGCTTGTGGGCAGGATATGGATGTAGTAAATGGTGGAGTTAAAAACTGATCGTTTAGGATTATAAACTGGTTTAATTCTATAGTTATATTAGTGTTTTCTCTTAAAGAGCTCTACTTAAAGGCATATACATTTAGAACACATTTCTATAATTAAGAGAACCCACTTTTTTAACATTTTGTAAAATCATCTGTGTGTCACCTGTACTATATACTCTGGTTATTTATTAACTGTATGAGTCTGTTGTTGTTTTTTAGCTAAAATGCAGAATAAATTCCAGCATCCCAAATGTAAATATCTGCTGGTTTTCTTGGTTTTCATGATAAGAAACTAAACATTTTGAGTTTGTACTATAACACAAACAAACTGAATATGACCACTTAGACTTAAAAGGTGAGGTCAGTCATTCTGGAGAGAGATAGTTGATTGTCAAGCCTCATTTCCAGGTCGTCAAATACCAACCATTACCAAAGCGTTGATATTTGACGACCTGGGAATTATATTTAACAATAAACCTCTCTAAAATAATCTAAATCTTTCTCCAGAATGACGGACCCCACCTTTAAGGAAAATGTGATGGGCCTCTTTATTTCCCTTTTATATAACAATTTATGGATCAAATAATCATTACTGGGAATGACGCCGTTTGTCTCGTACCATTTCTGTGTGTCCTCATGTGGCCCTTGAGGCTGCTCTTCTGATTGAAGCACCTCCCGCAGATGTGGCAGCCGTACGGCTTCTCCCCGGTGTGAATTCGTAAATGTCTTTCAAGGTGGCCAGCGCGCTCAAAGACCTTGCCACAGTACGAGCAGATGAAGCATTTCTTTGGTTTGATCACCTGAAAAGACCTGCTCGCTCTCTGGTGGTGGTGATTCAGCGTGGGTCCCGCCATACCGTGCAGTCCCGCTTCACTTGATATCATCAGTGTGTCTGAGGATCCATAGGGCGTTTGGGAGATCATGCTGTTTTTGAGTTCCTCATATGGTTTCCTTGGAAAGGAGAATGTGCTACAAGAGGCTTCGACCGGTGGCGGGAGCAACTGCGCCATCCCCTGGAAGGACGTCATACTCTGCGCTGAGCTGTTGAGAAACTCCGTGCTGCTGATCTCTGCGCTGTTTTGTCCCTGTAATCTGGACATCCACTGCTGGTTGTCTCTCTCAAATGATGCGAAGTCCTCACTGAGGTTGTCTACTCCTTCCATTGTCTGCTCGCTTCCTCCATGAAACAGTGGTTGTGCTATATTCTCCTCCGCAGGCTCAGATTTTACATGTACGGGTGTTGTCGCAATGTCCTCATTCTTAGGTAGGCCATCCTCAGCGTTCATCTGGCTCTCTTCCTCCGGGCGATGAGTTTCAGTACACGGGTTCACCTCGTGAATCTGCTTCTGTTCGCCCACGTGGATCTCAACTGGTCTGGGCTGAAGGGCTGTTTAAGTAGAAAGAATCATAAGTCATCATAAGCATTCTTACCACCCACATCTACAGTAAGAGTTCAAAAGGTTTTTACCTTTCAACTTTTACACATATGGTGTAGTCATATATGTAAGGTCAGGTCCAAACTAAACGTTCTTCACTTAAACAACCTCATATTCAACTGAGAGCTTCTCCATAGCCTTTTAATTTATAGCCAAAACAGTCAGTCCATCTATTTCCCAAACAACCTTTCTGTCCAATAATGAATAGAGTATACACATTTACTGCAACACTCCTGTCCTCCTGGCTGTAGCCACTGTCTACCGTCTCAGGAGCTTTTTCCAGCTTTATTTTCAGCAGCATCATTTACTTGCACAATTACAACAGTGACAATTGACTTCATGCTATAAATAACTAATCTTTGATCCCATGTTGATCTGGCTTAACCAGAAATATCTGATAAGTAAAAACTTTGTCTGACCGAAACCTTAAACCCACGCAGTTCACTGAGAGGCAGCGTTTTACGGCTGAGACGGGCCTTCTTGCCTGAAATAAAGACAACCAAGGCAGCCAGTTTTTAAAAAAGCACCCTTCAAATATTGGAAATATTCCATTTCTATTCATCTGTCCAAATTCACTGTCTGGAACAACAAGTCGTGTCTGGTTTTGAAATATGCTGTCATTACGATCTATTGTGAGCTCCATAATAGGCTATTGAAGTTTGTTCCCATAAAACAGGAAAGAAATGATAGAAAATTCGTTTCAACTTGATATTTTTGAAAAACTGTCAAACTTAAAGGCTGTATCCTCTAAAATCGTAAAAAGAAAATTCTACATTTTTTATGTAATAAAACAGGAGCAAGAGCAATGGAGGCGCTGTGTATTATTTATTAGATGTGACAATAGTTGAGGCTGTCATCTTCTAACTAAACTGAATACAGAAAGAGAGGCACCGGAATCTGGGTGATTCCCCACCTCTTCTGAACAACTTCTGGGGGAAAACCCTGTGAAGATATATTTGTTCAGTCTTGCATACACGGGAGGCTGTTCGGGGCCCTGCACTGGTGTAGTTTGTTATCAGCCGAACTAAACGTTAGTAAAAATACCTGAAGGTCATTTTTTTTCACTGCTGCGTGGCATGCACATGAACCGAGATGTGACCCCCCAGTAATTAATACCCAATGAGCCTTGCCCTGAGAAGCTGAGAGGATATAAAAGGCCGGTCTTTTTGTAAGCCACTCAGGCGAACACTTTTAGGTCACCATCCCCCATTTACTGTCGTCTTGCCTGAATCACACACTGTAGTTTTTAACTCTGCTTGCTGTGACACAGACGAATACCACAGCCATAGACTTCATCTATGAATTGAACCAGGACTCCAAGACGGAGGACAAAAATAACACGCGAAGAACGAGCTACAAATATGTCAGGGAGATTTGGAGGACCTTCAGATTAAAGAGAAATGTATTGCTCCTCCACATCAGCCACAAGTATTTTGAATGTTATTCAAAGCCCGAGGGAAAGTCTTCACGCTATATGAACTGGAATTAAATAACTTATTATAAGTAAATATAAATACTGTATGCTGGCGGAGGTCCAGTGACCCCAGGCAACTGATCCCTCTGAGCCTAACCCTGATCCTGCCCTGCAGAAAACTGCCTCGAGCGAGACACTAAAGTCAGAGAATATCGCCTGAGTGCACAGACTCTGAGGCAACACCCTGCTTTGCATGTATATCTGATCTAATTAGCACTTGAAAACTAACAAGTTTAACACTTTCCTTGTAGTGAGTTTCAGAGGCCGGAGTGCTTTGCTCAAGGGCAACTCTAAAGAAGGTTGTTGACAAAAAGGCAGATCAGTACTTCTTGAAGTATTTTAATCATCTAAGCTAAGCAACCTGTAGACGATGAAGCATTGTACTTACATCTCCTGTGAATCTTCATGTGCTCCTTCAGGCTGCATTTCTGATTGAAACGTCTCCCACATATCTCGCAGCGATACGGTTTCTCGCCAGTGTGGATCCTTTTGTGCCTCTCGAGGTGCCCGGAACGCTCAAAATACTTCCCACAATACGGACAGATGAAGCCTTTCTTGAACATCAGCCTCTTCACCGTCCTCCTCCGCGCCGTGTTGTACGAGTTACGGTACTGGCTGTAACCCAGCAGCCCGCGGCTGAAGGGGCTCTGCTGAAGGCCACCGGAGCCGCTGCAGGGCGCAGCCAGTCCGGCGTCCAGAGACGATTCAGGAAGACACAACAAGGAGTTCTGACCCATATTTAAATAATCTGAGTTGTTGCGTCCTGCCTGAGTTTGCGTCGTCGGTCTCCACTGCGCACTGTCCCTTTCGTACAAGGCCGGTTGTTCTGGTTGTTCTTCACTTCCTTCTTCCACAGGTTCACATTTCACCTGCACCTCAGGGAGGGGCAGGCTGTTTTGGTCCTTATTGGCACATTTTTCCAGCAAGATCCTCTCACCACCAACGTCACTCTGAGCATCTGTGGAAAGGAGAAAATAATGGTAATGACCCACTCACACCCTCTGTTCTACAAGTACCACATAGTTTTGGTACAATCTACAAAGAGTTTACGGACTCAAGCAAAGTGCAAAGAGACCATGTGTTGGAAATATAGCAGCCACATTGTGCTATCACGACTGTACCTGAAACCAGATTTCATATATTCAACCATTCATCAGTACATTAAACCAGCAATAAGTGATTTTTGTGAACAAATTGTGAAGTTAGCATTAGTTGGCTTTCATTTTATTTGCATCAACCTCAACCGTAAATCCAATATTAACTCTCTTTACGGTCTGGTTTTTGATCTCCACCAACTCCAGGGGGAAATACCTGGCTGTTGAGCTGCTGATGTTTGTGTGTCTGTCTGCCATTTAGTTCTGGAAAGGTTAATGTGTGACGGCGTGTTTTAGTTTGACGCTGTGTAGACATCATAGTCATTGCCTAGGGCAATAAGTCCTCACTATGCCCCTATTGTACAAAATGTGGCATTGCTATAGGAAGGGATTAAAGGCAGAACACTGATTCAAAGGGTAGGCCAAATTAAATAATCCATTTTATGAATGGAAAAACGTCATTTGAATTATTCTAAGAAATTAATTTGCGAACATTCAAAGACAAATGAAGCAGTATTTTTCCACATTATATATTTATTACATATAATAAATGTAGTTTTTAACAAACTCTTGCTGTTCTTTTTCAACACCAAGATGACATGACTTCCTGGAGGGGGGGCTGTCACATTTATAGCTGACTGCCAGATGCCTTTTATAACTGATACAATACTGCTGGCATTCAACCACCTTTTGAAACAGTGTTCATGAATGTGATAAAGATAAATCCGTGCAAGTCTCTGCTCCCTGCAGACAGCCAGAGCTTTGCAGAGGTTGGAGAAGGACCAAAGTCCTCAAAGGCAAACAAAGTCAGATGTGTGTGTGAAGAAAACAGACCTGTGCAACCCTCAGAAACCCTGTCCTCATGTGTCCTCTTTTACTATCAGAGCAAGCAGCTCTACAAAGAGAGATGCAAGAGTGCATGGTGTGCAGATCTGTGTCAGGGTTAACAGAGCAGATACAGTGTGTTTATGTGTGTGTCATATCTTTACCATCTCTCCGGTGGGTGTCAGGTCGCAGGGTCACCCTCTCCTGAGCTGATCTGAGCTCGCTGTGCAGCACCTCGACGTTGCTCTGCAGCTTCTTGATCTCGTTCTCACGCTGACACATTTCCAGCCTCAGCACCACCATCCCATCTTCCACAACTTTGGAGATTTCTGCCACGGCCGCTTTGGACAAGGCGTCGATTATGGAGGCGATCTGAGCCCGCAGAGCAACGCTGCTCAACATTGTTAAAATAAAATTTAAAAAAAACAACCCCCCCCCAAAAAAACCCAAAAAAAAAACAAGTGACAGGGCAGGGTAAAGTTTACAGAGAGAAAAGTGGCACAAACATCCGGCGTGAGGCTGTAATTTACCCCCCCTTTTCTAACCGACAACGGGCCATTGTTGGAGCCGTTTAATGTGCACAAACTGCGGGTGTTTGGGTTAGATTTGGTGTTGGTTTATAATGTGCACCGCTTTCAGCTAGCTGCAGCTAATTGGCACAAAGAATAAACGCAGGCTCTCGTTTCTACGGAAGTGATGACACAAATACCGTAAAGAGCGGAGGAAAGGCGCAACGCACATTGGTTCGGCTCGTTTGTTTACTTAAAGGTCCAGTGTGTCACATTTAGGTTTCCATTGGCAGAGCTTTATGATAGACATGGGTATGTTATCAATAGTGTACTCCTGAATATTATGTTTTTCGTTAGCTTAGAATGAGCAGCATGTTTCTACAGAATCAGAATCAGATTTAGTGCCAGGTAGGTTTTTACAGATGAGGAATTTGTCTTGGTGCAATGTGGCTTAAAATATACAATCAACAAAATATACAATCACACGCAAAAAATTTTACAAAACACACAAAAATCACCAAGAATAAAGTTACTTTTAAAAAGATAAAAATTAAAGAAAGATAAGAAAGATAAGGAAGACTGTACAGGAAAGACAGGAGTGCATTAATGTTAATATATAAGTATATATTATTATATAAATTATACGCTGGTATATATAGGGTGGGTATAAGAGTCAGTGACAGTGGGGGATCCGGGCCTTGTTAATGAGGCCAGCTGCAGATGGAAAGAAAACAGTAGCCCACAACAGACAAACCAAACACTGCCTCTACATATTTAAAAAGGTCTTTTTTGCATTTTACACGGGTTTCACCGCCACTGTGGTTTTTCCTACAGACTTTGCATCCCATTTGCATTCGTCAAATACAGATGCGAGTGATATTGTTACAATCTGTAACTGCAACCTCTAAATGCCACTTAATCCTACACACTGGTCATTTGAAGTCCCCCCTCCTCCACTCAAAAATGTGTTTTCCTTCTTGTTCCTACAGTTGAATGTTTGTGCAGAGTTTGACACTAGAAGGATGTTTTCACATTTGTCTGCTGAAAGTGGAAAGTTTCTCTAAGCTCATTGAAAATCCATCAGTCCTGGTCCAGTCTACAACTCATACAAGTGTGATGTAGAAACCTGAAGCCACCAGTGCACAGACACTGAGAATAAAGTAGGAGACATCTTGTGTCCAGCAGAAAAACCTTAAAAATTAACAAAATGTACATATTATATAAGGTAGAAGGAGCCTTTTTAAGGATTTTAATGAGGAACTTATACTATTTTTGCAGAAAAAACATATCAGACAAACATTACTGTTTCAAGCAAACTATTTAAACTACGTTTTAATATGTCTGGAGGGGATCTGTAACCAGCAAACATACAGACATCGCACCAGTTAAAAACGTGCAGGAAATAAGCCAAGCAGCAGCAGCCTATAAATCAAAGTTATACAATTTACTTTAAGTCCCTTTTCCCCCCAACAAAATATTATTTATTTAATAAATCCATATTCATTAAGTTATAATATAGACAGATTATAATTGAAACAAAAATAAAAATGTAAAAAAAAATTATAGAGAAAAAACAAGTAGGCATCTATTATACTCATATTTACACTTATTGTAAAGTATTTATAGAAATTTGAAACCTTTAAGACAAAATGGAAATAACACAAATTGGGAACATTAACATATTTTAACGTCACGAGAAAACAAATAAGATAGATTTAAATTTAATAGAAATATTAAACGATAAATTATTGCATAGGCACACACCCTCTCCCACTTCCACATCACCATTACTTTGACACACTAGATCCTCACCGGTTCACCCAACTGTCTATAAAAAGGCCACATGTTAAATAAACATCACTTGTGTGTAATCAAGGTGTGACAAGTAATTTTAGATTAAATACACAGTCTGTATCTGGATGATTCAACATTATGAAGACAAAGGAATATTACAAAAGTGCCAGTTAGGGAGAGGATACCAGAAACTTTCCAAGGCACCTGAAGTGAGGATATCTGCTGACACAAGTACTGATCTGATACCTGTTGTCTTTGTACATAAGGTAACATGAACCCAGAGAATCAAATTACAAAAGGTATGCATTGAGGGTGTGGCTGGGCGATATGACAACATAAGTAGAAAATATAAATTTGTCATTCATCAGTAATTCTCTTTAATATCTCTGTGTATTAGACCAATGATTCACAACCTTTTTATTCCTACGAGCTATATCTACTTGTGTCACTCTAGTTCCAAAAGTGTTTAACTTCAAGGCTCAAGAGGTTAAACTCATCTAATGACTTACATTCATCTTGTAACACCTTGTAGAGGTATTACACCAGAGTTTGTCAAACGTTTTACACTGCAAATCTTCTCAGAAAATATAAGGCAACCACTGCCACCATTAACACTGATGTAAAAATACACTCGTTGACTGCTGAAGGGGGGTTCACTACCACTGGCACTTAAACTCTTCCACACAACTCTCATGCACCACAAGGTGTAATCACGGACTCCGCGTGCATGAACGTCATTACATCGCAGGCAGATATTGAGACAACAACATTACAGGAAAGGCAAATCTTACTTTAAACTACATTTCAGTGATCCTCCTAGTTTAAGTATCTTCATTCAAAATGTTGTATTATTTTTATATGTTTTTAAATTAATTTAACTTTTTACTCTTTTAGAATTTCCTCCACGTACCACTAGAGGGAGGTCACACACCTCATGTACCATATCAGGACCAATATATTCGACCACTGTGGGTATTAAATCAATAAGCAGCATTGCTTTATGGCTTTTTTAACTTAACTTACTTAATTTTAACTTACTTTGCAATCAATCAAGTATTTCTTTGCTAGATTAGGCAAAAACAGACAATAGACTTTCTATAAAATGTAGTATACCACAATATACATCAATATCGCATTATAAACGTACATATATTATAATTGTGGATTTGATCCATATTGCCCACTCCTTTTTTAGGTACAGAAAACCTGTTAATCAAAGTGAAATTGTTAAGTGAAATTAATGGAAAGTCAAAATGAAACTGGCAATCTCATTTGGCAGTTTGTAGCTTTTTTTATAAACTGTAAATGCACTGTTTTCATTTACAGTAATTAATAAATCCCACACTTCCATTACAATGATAAAGAATAAACAGATGCATTGCCTCATCGTCACTGAGAGAAAAATAAACTGGTATGTCTGAAAACGAGTCTGTATGTCCGACACATGCAGTAGAGTGGTTGCAACCCATGGTTTGAACAATCCTGCCATGTAGACAGTTTATGGTGGCATCCGATGCATTAAAACTGTCAAAGTTCACTGGCGAGATAACTAAGTGCTTTTGCAAATTCTCTCAGTCAGAGCCCCAGCATCTGAGCGCTATCTTCCCTGCAGGTGAATCTCTTGATGTATTTTGAGGTTACCCAGCACAGTGAAGCTTTTACCACACTGTCCACAGCTGTACGGCTTCAGCCCGCTGTGGAACCGCTCGTGTCTCAGGCAGTTGTCCTGCCTCGAAAACATCTTGCCGCAGATTTTACAACTAAACGGCCTCTCGCCCGTGTGCACGCTCTGGTGCGTCTTCAGCCGGGTCTTCTGAGTGAAAGATTTCCCGCATTCGAGGCACCTGAAGGGTTTAAAGGGTTGGTGGGTGGCCCTGTGCTCTTCCAGCTGAGACAAGCGGGGGAAGCCCCTGTTGCAGACCGTGCAGATGAACAGTTTCTGATTCGCTCTCCAAACATTCATTAGCCTTTTTGCTCTCAGGCTGTGTCTACTGAGGATGTGGTCTTCCGTGTTTGGTCCAAACGTTCCTGCATTAGACCTCTGCGCATGAGGCGGGGCTAGCGAGGGCCCGGCCTGTTGAGAAGCAGACTGCAAGCACCGGTCCTGACTGACTGCAGGGTGCGAAGCGTGTCTGAACTGTTCGTCGTGACCAGACTCTGAAGTGGTGCTTTCCATGCACATAGGTCGAATGTCCACCTCTATTTTTATGGGCACACTTAAGGAATCATCTGCCGTCCCCTCTGCGTCAGTTGATGAAGCGTTAAAGGAACTTTCTGTGTTTCTATGAGCAGCATATTGCTCCACGTGAGGGGGGATAATCTGTATGCACTGCTGCATTGCAACAGAGCTTTTTTCAAACATGCTACAAGCGGGAGGAGGCCAGATCGGGTCGCCTCGTTCTCTCGCCTCAAAGCAAACGTCTGCTGTTGAAGTGTTGTCCGTTGTTTCCTGGGTGGCAAGTTCATCCGCCGGCTCGTGTTTCACCGTTGGCCTCACGTCACGGCTCTCCTGTGTTTCATGTCGAGGTTCACAGACTGAATCAGCGGTCTCTGGTTCAAGATACACGGAGCACGTTTCCTGGTCTTCTTTTTCATCTGCAAGTCACACAAAGAAAATTGCAGGTACACATGAATTTGATTCTACAAATGCAAGTCAACAATGCAAGAACACAGTAGAGTTCACATTTTCAACTTGTGCATAAAAACAGCTGGATGGAAATGCAGAAAGGTTTGGAAAAATAACTTCAAATATTGCAAAAGATATTTTTACGCTTGGCTGATTTGCAGAAGTTGGTATATCAATAAAAGCAAAACACAGAATTGGCACATTTCCATCATGTTTGAGTTTTTATGCGGTGCCTCCTCTTCTGTAATAGTTCAATTGCACTACATTTGCATGGGAACCTGGCAAGTTCTTTATCAGAGCAGTAAAACCCCTTACAGCTATTTACTTAGCCTGTTTACTGGAAGTCCAATGACATTACTTGTTCTGAACCGTAAAGATTCATTTCTCATCGGTATATAAATACGTCCAAAGAAAGTCTCTACTTTCAGTCAATGCTCAAGCTCGAGATGATGAGTTGACTGAAAACTCTTCCTGTTTTTGAAACAATTATCAATTAGTAGATCTACTTAAAGATTAATTGGCATCTATTTTTAATCATTCCCTGCTTCCATCTTTTCAACTGGGAGGATTTGCTGATTTTCTTGGACTTGTGTGATGATGAATGTATGTTTCTATTTTGGACTGTTGCTCAGACAAAATGAGCAATTTAAGGATGATCGTGAACTTGAGGAGATTGTTAGTAATCTAACAATCTGTTGGTTATTACGTCCGTTTTTTATATATAGTATATATCAATACTAGCATGGAAAAAAACCCAAATCAATATATTTTTAGTCACAAATATTGTTGCTTCACATTATTAAAGCATTTAATACAAATCAATAAATTCTTACCAAATTTTCTGACATTTTTCTAAATACATGTTACATGTTTTTTTTAACTTAAGCCTGTCACTTAGTTTAAAATGTGCTCACAACAGATCATTCAATTCATTTCCATTTTTGACATCTTATTTTTAAAGTTGATGTGTTAAAGTTGACACCAAACCGGGGTGGCCGGGAAGTTTTTTTTCTAGATCCGCCTCTGTTCCAAGTTTCATGGTGTTTTGTTTTTGTCCACATCATTATCCTAAAATAATGTAAATGTAAATGTATGGATAAAACAAACCAATAAATGAGTGCCTATCGGTATTCAATGCTCTCACCTTTGAGCCGAATTTAACAGAAGACTATAAAGAATCATAAAGATCTTAAATTATGTTCTTCTAATCATGACAGGTTGTGTATAAGAAAGCAAAACGTGAATTTCTAAGTTTCAGACTGGAGTTTGGTGTGACGGCTTCTTGCTTCTCACCTTTCTGGAGGACCTGACTCCCGGCTGCTGTTTGCTCCTGTGCGTCCTTCGCGGCTCGACTCGCGGCTGCTTCCTGAGCTTTGCAGAGTTCAACCTCCATCAGCTTCAAACTTCTTTTGAGCTCCTGGATCTCACCGTCCCTCCGACACATCTCCAGGCGCAGCACCACGGTCCCGTCCTCCACCAGCTTCGTTATTTCTGCGACCGCAGCCTTCGCCAGCACGTCCATGATGGCTGCGAGCTGCGAGCCGAAAGAGGCCGGGAAAGACATCCTGCCGAAGGGACGACAACCAGGAAAACACAGCCAGGAGGAACAAATGTCAGGCTTTATCGAACAGCTGGGCTTCTGCAGTGAGGCGAAGCATCTTTCCAGCTGTTTTATTTTGGTGTACTTCCGAGAAAACCAGAGGGCGGACGTGACGTAGGGGGTAATTGCTGTAACGCTTGTAATAAACGCGAATTAAAATTATCTCTCTTTCTCTCTCTCTCTATCCTGTTTTAGTTGTTAACCAGGAAATATATGATATTTACACTGTAGAATAAGTTCTCTTTTAAATTATGCATAGATATTTCTGTGTGAAACTCCGAGCGGCAAATTCTCAAACCAAAAAACAAAGTATTCAAAGTCTAATTTAGACATTTGGACAAAATTGAAAGACCATAAAAACTGTATCTAAATGTGAAAACTTGTCTCCTATAGTCAACCCTCAAGTGTCATAGGCATTAGTTAAATAACTAATGTCTAACGATGTTTTATGCATTTTGTTGTTTAATTTATTTAATATGTAATACTTGTTTTACATAACAACAAGGGGATCAATAAAGTATATCTTCTTTCTTCTTTCTTCTTCTTCAAGTCACCTGAGATAATAATAGGACAGACATCATTTTGGAAACATATTTGTATTTATTTATTATTATTTACACCTTTTGCAGCCATTATATTTATTATAAATGATACATTCAATTCATCACCCTTGCACTTTCAAATCACCACATAGGCCTAAAAACTACCTTTTAATATACAAACTGTATATATACATATACTTTATATAATTACAAAGTATTGTATAATTAGACTAGTGCAAAGAGAAGCCAGCTGGATTTAAGACTAACCTTTTATGCTTTTGATCAAAATCAGTTCAGTCAAATGATGGGATGTTTTTGTTTTACAGACATGGAAGTTACGAAAGTTCTGGGTTGAAATAGAAAAAAAAATGTATTGTCAACAAATTTTTTATCCATAAAATGTTAAGCAGCACTTCACCTTTAATACCGTCTGCGTGTTTGCTTTCGGTCTCAGTTTTATTTAGCAGGAAGAACAATTGCTGCGTTGCATTTATTAGCCTCCTGGTAGGGTATCCTGCTGACCGAGGGGTTTGAGACACTGACTATGTAACTGCATCGTCACCCGATCGAGTGTGGTTGGGGACCTTCTTCATCCTCCCACCTCATCCCCCTGTCAGCTTGCTACAGTTCTCTATCTAATAACGGGGGAATATCCATCCTCGTTTAAAAAAACTACAAAAAGTTTCCGGGCTGCACATTAAGTTTGCGCATGGCAGAAAAATAACAAACCTAAACATTTTTAGCATTGCAGAGACAATAATTCAATGTATTTGTATAGCGCCAAAACAGTTAAGTTCAAACCAACTGTAACTAAGTTATCTTAGGACACTTTTCAANNAACATTATTTACAGAGACCCAACAGTTCCCACCATGAGCGAGCACTTGGCTATGGGGGCAAGGAAAAACTTCCTTTTAAAAGGCAGAAACCTAGGACAGACCCTTCGGCTTTAGGTGGGTCGTCTGCCTCGACAACAATACCGTTGTTATAATTTAAAGGGATCAGTATCAGTACAGGAGAAACATGTCCCTTTGTGCTGCATGTAGACAAATTGTTTGTACAGACAAATCAGTTTAAATCAACATACAGACCAAAAAAAAAAAAAAACCTTCACTCTACTTCATTTCCCCACTCTTTCTGCCTCTCCTTCTCCTTCTCCTTCTCGCACTCTTTCCCTTTTTCTCGCCTCATGGTAGCTATGGCAACGGCCTCGTCAAAACACATGCTGAGGGGACTGTTTCGGCGGGTGTCCCTCAGGGGGCTTTCATCCCCGTCCCTTCTCCTTTCCCACTCTTTCTCCCCTCCCCTGTGCGCCGGCTTCTCCTTTTTCCCCCTGCCATCATCTCCTTCCTCTCCGTCTTTCCCCTGTTCTCCTGCGCCAGCTTTGTCCTGCTCTGTCTGGACCTTAAGCGTGTTTTCTCTCCCTCTGTCTGCGTCTCTCCTGTCTCTTTGCTGCTGCTGATGTCGGAGGGTCAGGGCGGTGAACTTGCAATGCTGCGGTTTCGGAGGGACAACCGGCACGGCTTTTACTTGGTAAACTTTTGGATGTTTGGAGATGACCAGCTTCCTTCCTACTCCTCCTTGGCCGCCGTCACTGTCTTCACACTTTCTGCCCTCTTTCAACACCTTAATATCAGACATCACCTCTTTAACTTGTTCGTCTACTCTTGGCAGCGTGTCTTGCTCATCAGCTCTCTCTTTGTCATTCTTCTCTTTTTCTTGCGAAACCACTTCTCTGCCATGATGCTGTTCTTTGTCGTTGACGCAGAGCTTCCCGTGAATTGCTTCATCTAATTCTCTTGTATTTGGTAAGTGTGTCTCTCTTTCCTCAAACTCTTGCTGCACCTCTGGGTCTGTGATCTTTTCTTCGTTTGTCTCCATTGATTCCTCCACTACCTCTATACTAACTTCCGCCTTGTTTGTCTCTCTTCCGTCAGCTTCCATTTTCTCTCCTGAAATCTTTACCATCTGATCTTCCTCCACTTCAACTTTGACATCTTCAGTCGTATCACTTTCTCTTGCACTCTCATTCTCAACTTGCTTCCTTTCCTCGTCCTCTATGACTTCACATATAACCTCCTCAATTTCATCCCAAATTTCATTGCTTGTTCTACAAATTTCACTATCCTTGCCACCTTTCTGCATCTTTTCTTCATGTTTTAGGTCAGCTATTGCGTTATCGCCTTCCTCCCACGTGTTCTCATCACTTTCTTGTACTTCCAGAACCTTTTCTTGACACCCGTCCTCTCTCTCTTCGTACACCTTCCTGTCCTCTCCCTCATCGCTGTCTCTCTCACTCGTGTCCTCTCTAACACAGGGTCTTGGCAATTCTGTTATCTTTACAGAAAAGTCTTTGGACTCCTCTAACGGAACGTCAGCCATTTCTTTCTGTGTGCCGCAAGAAACTTCTTGGAAAGGTGGATAATCGCTGTGAGGATTATCAACCTCATCCTTCTCCTCCTCGACCGTAATGTCAGCCATAGTGCTTGTTTCGTCATTGCTCGGCAGTGGAAACTCAGCACAGCAGTGTGTCGATGCCCCTGAAGTGAGTTCTTTGTCACTTTGAGTGTCTTCCATGGCACTGCAATCTTCCTCTGTCGCTTTGCTGCAGATTGATGACAGATAGAAATATTTAAGACATGAAAAAAAGTGCAGTTTTATGATTATATAGTAAAGTATGCTAGTTTGTGAGTTAGTGAGCTAAACATTGTGCAACAAGATGAGATCTACTATTTGCATTTGTAGAATTGTTATTTGATTATTTCAAATTCTACAGATAGATAGAGATATTACCTTTGCAGGTAGGTGAATGCGGGACAACCATAAATGCTAAAATGCCAAAACATTTAGTTAACTGACCATGATGTCAGTAATGCAGAAATATGTCTCTGACGTATGCTAGCTAAGATATACTACTGTACCACAATAAGCAACTGGTCATACCGGACCAAGTAAGGTAGCAGCGGCAAAATCTTTGAGTATACTGAATGGAGCACAAGTGTGTTTTATTGCTTATGAATTTAACTGGGAAGGATTGAGAATGTGTGTGTGTGTTTTTACTAAGTATGCATTTCTTGATTTTTTTACAGGCTGTAAACACAACTTATTATGACATATTATTTCCATATGAAGTTGATATGGCTAACATTAGCAATAAAGGGTAACTGGTATTTTTCAACCTTGACCTTATGGCAACTGCGCACCATTAAAATACGTCCATTAAAAGTGCTTGTTTTTTTCCACCTATTGTTAGTCTTCGTGCAATTTGAATAAGAGTGATGTATCTTCTTCAAAGGTTCTATTATAGTCTTCCTGCAAGCACCACTTCTGAGATATTTTAGAATGAGACTTCTTCCTTGAGTGAGACTCAACACACAGCGGTTCAAGCAAAAGGTGCAGAAAGTTTCATTTCTCTGTACAGTTGTGTTGTCTGGCACTTAATAATAAGTAATAATAATCTGAGCTGGTCAGTAGCAAAAACAAGCACTTTAAAAGGACTATTCTGATGGTGCCTAATATGTTGTAGTCTGTTTCTCGGCAGCCGGCTACAGCACTTTCACTCAGTGAACCAAACTCAAAACTTGTTGTACCCATTAGTCAATTTGATACAAAAACTTTGGAAAATGTGCAGGTTGGAAAATATAAAAGTAACCCTTTAATTTGGAGTTGAGTTTCTGGCCACCTGACAAATCTAAGTTCAATATTTATTCTCCATGTAACTGTTTAATGTCTGGCTCTTTAGCTCCTAAATGTTCCACTATGTTATCCAGCTGAAAGATGTTAAAACGAACAACTACATATAATCTGAAAGGTGACTTAAAGTGATTTAAGCACATTTAAGCACATTTAAAGCTGCTACAGCAGCTTTAAATGTGCATTCTGTGATAAATACTTTTATCAGTAAAGCCTATGACTGATAAAAATGTACTTGCATGATAACAGGTTTATTCAAATGTCAAATCAGTATCACCTTTGCCAGTTGTTTTCCGGTTGGTCTCTTCCATGGTGAACTTTATCTTCCTCTTCCGTCTC